TCCAATTCAGATAACTCATTAGCTATATCAATTGGACCTTTACCCGACAATAAAATAGCATTGACATCGGCAGAAGTTTACAGTTAACACAAATGGGCATGTTGTTTACATAACATGGAAAAAGCAAAGGTCCTAGCATACTCTCTTGTGGGACTCCACATGCTATTAGCATGGGTGTTGACCTTGCAACGATTTGTTTCCTGTTGCTAAGATTTAAACCAGTCAACAGACCCAATGCCAAGAGCCTGCAGTATATTATGATCTACTGTGTTGAAGGCTTTTTGTAAATCTAGCATTGCCATATCTATGTAATTTCCCTGAATTGTCCGAGATGTAATATGGTCAGTGAGATGGATCAGACAGGTGTAAGTTAGGGGAGAGCCCCTAAAGCTAGATTGGTTGGTCCAAAATATTACTCATGGAGACATCTTTCTACCTGAACATACACTGTCCTCTCTAGGTAGTATGGTTGCAAAAATGCAAAAGAATTCACTTCCAAAGTTTCCACCAATTAAAATAAATAAAATTTAGTTTTGGCCTTATGAGTTGTCATGAAATTCTGTTATCTTCAATGTTGTTCACAGGATCTAGCACATACTATATAGTTTCCATATAGTAAACAAATTAATTTATATTTACTATATTGCTTGTAAGTTTTTTTACCAGTTGAACTTTAGGGAAAGTAATTTTGTTCAGTTGCTTTGAATAAATACTTGAATTTTTGTTTAATTTTATTTTACCATTAAGAGAAAGAGAAAATAAAAATTCCGGTAATCATTCACAATCATATCTAAATTACTACAGTACAGTATAAGAAAGCAGTTAACTCCTATCTAAGTCACTAGAAACCTTTCTTTGGGAGCAAGGTTGCTTCTACAATTTGTGTCAATCTGCAACAATCAAAACTTCAATTTCAGCTTAGTAAAATTTCTCAGATTTTCCAAATCATGGCAGAGCTCTAACATAAGCCCCGATTTTATTTTATTTTATTTTTTTGAGAGGCTGAGTCCAAAGCCTCCTCGACTCTAAATAACACCATTATGCTATACAGTACAGTAGTGCCTTCTTCATCGCTGGACATCCCGTCGACATGTCCTGTTGTTCAGTGTGGTTCCTAGTGTCAGTCAAGACTGTTTGATCTGGTCTTCTCTGTTCTGTGTGAAACAAGCCTCAAGGTCTTGAAAGTCAGGTCTTGTGTTTAACCCATCACTGGTTCCCAACCACTAATATCAAGGGTTACCTGGGTCTCTAGCCAGCAGATTTAGTAAGTACATTATGATTGTCACTTAGTGGAAGGCATTAGTTCATAAAATACAAATTCCGTACTGTATGTACAGTATAAAATATTATGACCTATATAGATGGAGACTCAAGAGTTCAATCAGGAAAGAGCCAGGGGTCAGATGAGGTAATATTACTCTTATACTATAGTATACACACTTCATATTAATGTTATGAGAATCTGAACCTCAAGAAGTTTAAAGTTAAAAGAAAGAAAAGAAAAGTAAAACATCTTACATAACCAGGTTACAATTTATACCCAATAACTTGGCAGAAATAGAAACAAACAATCAATTTTAAAAAGATTTCTTTAAATTTTTTAAATACAAATTTAATCCTAAATATGGTATGCTTGCACATTTTCATACATTGCATCTGTGTTTCTAGATTCTTGTTGTCACAAATGATCTGTCTACTTCACTACCTTTTTTGGTAAAAACGTTCATCCCCATCTTACACTAATACTAATCAAAAGGAAACCAAGTTAATAGTTTTTTGTACATGGGATTCTTCTCCATTTAAGCATAAAACATATGAATGAGCAAGAAAGTGACAACATACAATATCTTTAATCTGAGATACTGTACTGTACCTAACCTAGAAAAGTAGGAATCCATAACAGACCCAGTATGGGGACCAAGAACCATATAGATTGTTGAACAAATTAATCACCTGTTTGTTTATTCATTCAATATGTTTCAAGGAGATAAATAAAGAGTAAATATAATATTGTGTCAATACCGTGTTGGTCACTAAGTACTGTATTGGAGTCAAGGCTTCTAATTTCCCTTATGCTGTTTAGCACCAAAACTGTCAGAGAATCACTAGTCTTTTACTAGTCAATGTCTATGACAGAGCTAAACACTAAATATATAACTGTCACTGTAGAAAACCGTGTATAAATATACCTGAACAATAGTTAAGTGATCTAAAATTTAGATAAAAATCAGATTACATAATGAATACTATAAAAAAATTGCACTGTATTTCTAACATCAAAAGCATATAATACACACATCTATTCTCTGCAATGTGTAAAATTATAACATGGTACTGAGACCACCCAGACTAGTCCCGTATGAATGAAAGAGTGCCTGGTGATCAGTGTTGGATATGGTAATGCAACGGTAAGCAATCTTTGCCAAACAAAGAGGTCCAATCTTTCACTTCTCACACTGGTAACAATTTGCCAGAATTCCACCTACGATGGTCATCTAAGTTATGTATCACTGAGGACAGATAAAGATTCAGAGAGGAAGATGTTGGAAGGTGGAGTGACTAAACAGCCTGTCCTTGTGAATAAAATGGTTATCCGGTGATCAGTGACTGTGACAGAAATGAGAGTACAGTACCTGTACTGTAATGATATAATGGTTAGTACAAGGTGTGATTGACATGGTTACAATCTTTGTTTCTCACAATGGTTACATACACACTTATAGTATATAGGGCTGTATTCAAGAACGTAGAGTATCCCTATACAGAATGACTACCACAAAGAATTCCTACACCATCAGTGTGGTGCACAATCTAGATCGCTCAAACTGTGTCTTGTTCCAGGCTACCAACATATGAAAAAGGGAGGGCTTTTTAATGACGTGATGGTATGTGTACATCTGTTAATATTAATTTGCACAAGAAATACTATAAAAGAAAATACAGTAGAGTATTCAAAATTAAATTCTACATATGAAGAACCTATTGTTATTATAGCCTAATCATTACTGAAAACTTTAAAAGTTACCTGTAAAACTTTGCAAAAGGTGCATAAGTTAATGACCAACATTAGGAAATTTATCAATACAGGTTAAAGAAAATTAATTCCTTTTCTTAAGAAAATCCCAAATATTGTAGTAAATTGATTGCTACCAAACCTAACCCAAACAAAGCAGAAAAGTCAAAAGTACTTAGAAACCAAACCTAATGAATCTCATTATCAGAATACTGTACATGACTTTTCCAACCTAACTTAACATCTCGATTATGTAACCTTCAGTCTGCCCAGCCAGGAATTCCCAGCTAAGCAGCCTCTACCAATTCAGGTAACTGGTGCAGACCTTCCATCCTGGTGATAAACTTTAGTTCATAATTTGGAACCCAAAATATTTCCTAGTGTACAGGAGAAATGTTGATTTATTTCAAATCATTCATGCTCAAGGAAACTTATATTATTACCCCAAATAGAATTCTAGTAAAGTACAGCAACCATAAATTGTACCTTACAGCAGTGATTCTCAAACTGGGGTCCAAAGAACCCCAAGGGTCCGTGGCACTTAGCTAGGGGGTCCGTGAAAAGTTTTTGAGGAATAGTGCGTTTAACGTTTGTGAGAGATTTGGCGATTCCAATTCGCAGGATATTTTGGATTTGGGTTGAAATGAAGAAATGCCTTGGATATGATTTATTCTTTCATTATTGACAATATTTGTATGCGTCATGGTATATAAGGGGTCCTTGGTTGAAATAAGTTTGAGAACCCCTGACCTACAGCATACATAAATCACTCTTCAAGCACCAAACCATTATCTGAATGCTCCGGTAGAAGTTTTAAACAAAAGCACTTTAATAAATAATATTGTTTTTTAAGCACCAATGGCATTCTTAAAAATGGGCCAAATTTCTCTTGTATGTATGTATGTATGTATATGTGTGTGTGTATATATATATATATATATATATATATATATATATATATATATATATATATATATATATATATATATATATATATATATATATATATATATATATATATATATATATATATAGTATTAATTATTATTAACACATACTACATCTAGATTCTAATAAATGTTTGAATATTGAATTTATATTTTCATGGGGCCTTGCTCAGGGCCACCTTCGCCTTCTCATGAATATTCTAGTACTGTACTGTAATTCATAGGGAATCCCGACAAATATCTATGGGCATTTACCATGCCATGGGCTTTCACTACACTTCTTGAATACCAACAGTTGATATTGCTTACAGGGATACCCAATGCTCCACGTTCTTGAATATACCCCCAAGCTGTATATAGGTTAATAAGTATTTCCTCAATATATATATATATATATATATATATATATATATATATATATATATATATATATATATATATATATATATATATATATATATATATATATATATATATATATATATATATATATATATACAGGTAAATAATTGTGTTCTTGTAAAATATCGTGTTATAGAAAATCGCGTAATAGAAATAACAGGGCTTATGGAGAAAATAGGGTTAGGTGCAGATTACTCGAAATCGAAAAAATTTAGTAGTTAGCCTAACACAAAGGATAGCACAGTCTAAATAAATGTTACATTCATATCTAATAATGAAATCATACAGTAAATGTAACACTTTACTTGATGGGGGAGAAGGGTGATTTTGAGGTTGATAAAATCGAGCTTCTCTTCAAGTGTTATATCCTTTCTTTTACGATCATCACCAGGAATTCTATCACCAGAACGCTTCTTGTTGATATTCTTCTTTACTATATTAAGCAAAAATCGCGTTATAGCAAACAAGCGTTCGCGTTATACAAATATCGTTCCTAATTCATAAATCGCGTTATCAAAACATGCGTTATAGCAGAAATCACTGTATATATATATATATATATATATATATATATATATATATATATATATATATATATATATATATATATATATATATATATATATATATATATATATATATATATATATATATATATATATATGCTGTATATATTTTTTTTAATAAACTGCTCACTGAATATTAACATTAATCCAATTTTTCTGGAATTTTGAAATTGGCTAGAATTGGGTTTACAATTACCAAGAAAATCTAAAAATTCTCAATGGATATAGACCCTAACATCCAGCTCCTATGGGACCAAGACCAGTTTCAAGGTTCCTAGGTCATCATGTTAACCCAGGCCTCCCAATAAACAATGTTTAGCTCTGCTTCCAAACACAAACTATTTTGAATTTTGTTTTTCTTAAATAACAAAAAGAAAATTTCATTATTTTGTTCTTAAATTACAAAAAGAAAATTTCATTACATAAGTGGAAAAAAATTAGCCTTACTATTTATTCAACAGGCAAACACAGCAGGTGCACTGAGTTCTGTTCCACAGGTCACATGTGATGCACAGTCTTACAGAGGTTTACAAAAGCTTTTGAATGAGGTAAGGAAGCAGAAGAAGTGGCATGAGAATGGAAGGCATAGAGGAGGAGTTACAAAGGAAACTGTTGCAGAAACAAGTGTGTTCTGATGCAATTCCTGGCAAGCCCAACGACTGACAGCCAAGGGGATAACTCTTCTCGGCACATCCCTTCTTTGTGTCTCCAAGACCCACTGGAAAGAAAGGTAACTAATGTCATGAAACCTATACTTCTTTTAAATTATATTATGACTAAAGAACAATAGTTACTAATACTGTAGTAATGGAATCCTCCCAAACATTTGTTTATTTTTCTCATATAACCATTTATGTACACTGTAATCTCCTTCACATCTCTGTTAATTCCTCTCCCAAACACCATTGTCTCATCTAACTGTTATTTATTTATTCTCTAAATAAAATCATTTACACTATTAATCACGTTAAAATGTGATGAAATGAATATTTGGCTAACTATCAACTAAATTACAGGTTGTACCTCTCTAGTCCGGCATTCTGTGGTCCGGAAACTCCCGTGGTCCGGAACGATTCTAGTTTGTCCAATAGGTAGATAGGCAGCATTTTTTTTATTTTTTTTTATCTGAATTATTATTATTATTATTATTATTATTATTATTATTACAGGAGTATTAAATTTTTGCCCCTCAGGCCCCAATGTGGGTCAGTGACCTATGCCTGGGTGGGCTAATCCCCTTAAAAAAAAAAAAGCCGCGGGAAATTAAGGTTTGTTTACATCCGGCAGTTCGGCTGCTCTCTCTCTCTCTCTCTTTGCTTGTCTATACAGAGTACAACATTTAACCCTTCACTATATATGAGCAGTAAATAAGTGTTGCTTTCATATTCTTATGTAGAGTAATGACGATATATTTTCATATGCGCGCACTTACATACGAGCAGTCTCACTTTTTTTTTACCATTAATGGTTAGCTACTTATATTGTTCCATTTATTAACATTAAATAACATTACAGGTACTTCAAGCAACCATATTCATTCTTTACATTAATTTTACTACAGCTAAACTCAGGGTCTTATTTTCTTCAGTTTTATATGTAGAACCAATCAGTCACTGGTTTCGTAAGCTTTAACATAAACAATGCCGGCAGCCGTCTCGTCTCCTCTAATATTCCACGTATTATTAATAAATTGTATTGTTAATTTTGCACACATGTACATTAATTCAATAAAAACAAATTCAGAAACATTAATTAAAATATATATGAACAGTAAATAAGTGTTGCTTTCATATTCTTATGTAAAGTAATGACGATATGTTTCAAAAGTATCTTGTCTTGCGCGCATATCATAGTCTCTCTTATTCTTTACCATTATACGTTGCTTCTTCTATTGTTCATTTGTAACATTAATAACATTACTTAAAACAACTTCATAGTAAATTTTACTACAGCTTCTAGCCAAGGTCTTATTTTCTTCAGTTTTATATATAGAACCAATTCAGTCACTGGTTTTTGCTTAATCTATGAAAACAATGTATATCTAATTTTCCTCGTATTTAATATTTCATTATTATTAATAGGGTGTATTTTTTACATAAACATTAATTCAATAAAAAAGACATTCAGTAATTAACAATAATGAATCTTTTGTACATAAGAGAAATGACGCTGTTTACACGATTAAGCACGTCGTCTGCACGTTGGCGGGCCGTTCAAACCCGTCAAAATTTTTATTTATTTATTTTTTTGTGTTCCAATAAAATACGTTAAGAATTAAAAACTCGCGAAATTTGAGAAGCTACTATACGACATTTAACCCTTCAATATGTCTTCAAAGAGACCATGACGCAGAGAAAGTGGTGCAAGTGCTTCCAGGCATAAGCACAAGTCACTATCTCTCCAGGAAAAGGGTGAATTTCCATGGTCCGGCAATTTCCATAGTCCGGTACCGGTCAGGTCCCGAGGTTGCCGGACTAGAGAGGTACAACCTGTACTTCCACAATATAGTAGCAATATTATAACTAAAATACAAATAGCAGAAAACAATTTACTGTACAGTGGTACCTCGGTTAATGAACGGTTCGGTTAATGAAATTTCAGTTAACGAATTACCTTCCATAAGAATCTTCAATTCGGTTAACGAAAAAAAATTTGATTAACAAAATCCTTTCAAACATCACGTTTTGTTGTGAGCTTCAGCTGATGGGCTAGTCTGCCAATTTAGTAATCTGTTCTATGTTTACATTCGTTTCTAATGGAGTCACTATCAATAAAGTTGTGCTCTTTAATATTTTTGCATGTTTTATATTAAAATTATGAGTCATTTTAACATTTATTTAACACATATATTATAACTGCATATATTATAATATATGCAGTACAGGGAACTAGTTTTTTGTGAGCCCATCAGATGCGTGAGTCGGCCACAAGGCGTCAGTTGGGCTTTGAAAACAGTGGAGTGAGAATCTATTTTGTTGGTGTCTTGAATATTTTTGCATTTTTCATTGAAATTATTGGTCATTCTGAACTTTAGTTAACATATTGATAATATATAGCGCAGTGCAGTGTTGAATTAAATAAAATAAGCTTGAATTACACCTCGTGAACTTAAAATTTTATTGGTGAAATGACGGCATGAAGCATGGGTCCCCTGAAAGGTGATTTCTCATCCATCCCAACTTCCTTCTCTTCTCCCTTCTCCTCCACCCCCACTTCTAATTCCCATCATCATCAACCACGAGCCTTCTACATACAAACTTCAAAATAAGTGTACTTTACTGCATTTTTTTTTACTTTGTATGTACTTTTCTGTGAGCTGGAACCTATTACCCAATATCCCATTGAAACAATGGATTCGGTTAACGAACGACTCTGTGGAACAAATTGTGTTCTTTAACCGGGGAACCACTGCTTACATTTATCTTATTTTCAACAAGTGATTGGCAAATTATTAGACCAAGACATAATTAAGCCCTTCTCCGCCTCATTGTTCCCTTGTTGTGATGGTAAACAAATTCAATACAGTAATACCCCGCTTTACGCAGTTCTCGTTTACGTGTTTCTACATTTACGCGGTACCCCGCCAGAACCGGAATTCCCGCTTTACGCGATGCATCTACTCGTATACGCGGAGAGCGGCTGGCGGTCTTCTCGCGTCACACCATTCTTGGATTCAAACCTCCCGCCATGTTGGGTAAGCGGCGCGAGTAGGTTGCGCAGTGTATGTCTTTGTTGCGTTATCGGTGACGTCATATGACGTATCGGACTGTAATTGGGCCACGCATCCTTACCTCCCTCCCCGCTAGCTGTGATTGGTTTTATGTAATAGGACGTGCCCTGCCGCAGGAGGGATGAAGCCGCTTGACCTAGCCGCATCAGTTACATCCCTCCCGGCCACACCGTGTATACCGGTATCTATTGTTCCATAAGAATGGCTGCCACCGGACCACCACCACCACCACAGAAAAACCTTGCATTACCTCGACTCAGCTGCCCTAAGCCAAAGAAGATACGACGTGCCCTAAGCTACAATGTGAAGTACTAGATTATCCAAGAGTTGGAGAAAGGAACAAGACAGGTTGATCTCGCGCGCCAGCATGGTGTGAACGAATCTACGATCCGGACGATAAAGAAGGATGCAGCCAAGACAAAAGAACACATGAACATCACAAAGTCTACAGGGGCTTCAATGATCAAGTATTGTCAGAACAAGGTGCTTCTCAAGACGGAGAATTTACTTGTGAGCTACTCGATTTGTCAGGCGGTCGACACATGGTCTGTTCAGGAGTACGCACGTTAACTGTACGCAGCAGTGTCACGTAAGATGGGAATTGCAGAGCCCAAACCCTTCAATGCTTCCTCTGGGTGGCTGCACAGGTTTAAGAAGAGGAACAAGATCACCAACATTAACATTGGTGGTGAAGAAGCGAGTGCTGACCGTGTTGCGGCTAGGAATTTTCCTGCGTTCTTACGTGAGATTATGGAGGAAGGACAGTACACCGATGACCAGGTGTTCAACATGGACGAATCCGGTCTCTTTTGGAAAAAGTTACCTTCCAAGACCTTTGTTGTCCAGTCTGCCAGCAAGGTTCGGGGTCGGAAGTTGCAGAAGGAGCGCATCACCGTCCTCTTTACCACCAATGCCTCCGGTTCCTGTAAACTCAAGTTATCAGTGATCCACACAGCCCGCAAGCCACATGTCTACAAGAACATGGACATGACCAAGCTAAATGTCCACTGGCTGACCACACGTAAGGCGTGGATGTTCTCTACTCTGTCCCTTTCCTGGTTTGATGACTGTTTCGTTCCCGACGTGAAGAAATTCTGTGAGCAACAGAATGTTCCATTCAAGATTTTGTTGCTACTTGGCAATGCACCAGGACACTCGCGCCTACTGTTGGATCGTCATCCCAACATAAAAGTGGTCTTCCTTCCTCCCAACACTACGTCATTAATCCAGCCCATGGACCAAGAATTGATCTGCAATGTGAAAGATGCATTCTCTGCAAAGAAGTTTAAGCTCCTGAACGACTATACCAACACCAAGGATGAGTTGCGTAACCTGGGTGACACCGATAGCAAGAGTGAAGAGGACGAGGAACAACAGTTGGCAGAGCAAGAAGTTCTTGTGAAACACTTTTGGAGGAAATTCAACGTCAAGAAAGCTGTGTACTGTGTACTTCTTGGTGGAGGCATGGGATCAGCTGTCTGTAGCAACGGTTTGTCACGCATGGAGACATGTGTTGCAAGGTATCCCAGGTGGGAGGCAGAGTCAACCTGTGACTGGTGAGGTTCAGACTGTTGCAGTAGCAGTGGACCTTGCCGGAGAAGCTGCGCAGAGTGTTACAGCTGCAGGCTTCTCCGAGACCACCAACAAAGACATCCCGGAGGTGATCAGGGATCCTGAGGTGATCAGGGATCCTGAGGTGACTGCCGACGAGATGTTAGAAGACGATCACGTTAGTGAAGAGGCAGGTGGTGCGTCATCCCGAGAAGAACACAAGTTATCGCATGGTAATGTAAGGGGTGCCATCGAGTGTGTAGAGAAACTGAAGCTCCTCCTTTCCGACAACCCTGACGATAACCGGTATGAAGTCTTCACTACCCAGCTGTTGCAGACGATGGAGCCGTACATCAAGGTGTATCATGACAACATCTACACTAGCCGTCAACAAAGCATTACCGAGTTCTTCGCCCGCAACCCACCACAGCCAGCCC